TGCTGTTACTGGTTAGTAAAGGTGGCCAGACAGCTGGAGTCCTCCACACAACATGAGTTTCCTATAGAGCAAAGGATATTCAGGAACATCTTTTGCAAGCCCATTCATATCTAGACATATAGACACTAGGGTTCCACTGGACACTCTAGATCAATGGTTCTTAATTTCTCCAATTCTCTGACCCTTTAAATAGCACTAACAGTAGTTACTAATATTGTGGTGAACAATAAACCTAATTGTTTCATAATTTTTTAATTTTAACTTTGCCACTGTTATGAATCATAATTCAAATATTTGATTGCAGGATATCTGCTATGCAACCCCCAATGGGGTTGAGGACCACAGCTCTGAATGCAGGCAGAAATCTCCTCAAATCCTGGTAGTGATGCTGAGGCTTTGTGATTCTTAGATTTTATTATCAGACTGAATAAAACTAGTCATCTGGGAAGAGGGACCCTCAATGAGGAATTACATAGATAAGCTTTACTTTTAACATGTCTCTGTGGTATTTTATTAATTGTTAATTGAGATAAGACCCTTAAAATGGGCAGAATCATTTCATTGTTTGCAACCTGTGCTGTGTAAGTATGAAGAATTTCAAGCATAAGCATAATCAAAGAGGCAGCATGGGTCATTTGTTTTTTTCTGCTCTTGGCTGTGGATGTGATATGTTTAGCTGAATTCTTACCTTGATTTCACAAATATGGAACTAGTACCTGGAATTGTGGTCTATGACATATTTTTCATATTCTAATTTGCTGTGCTTGGTAACTCAGTGTAATAAAGATGTTAAGAATTCACTCTATGACAGAGGGGTTTTCACAAGTCAGTGAGATGTGTATTTCATGAAAAGCTCAACAGCACCATATCTGTCTCAGAGGAGATCCTACTTCTTCCTGAACCCAACCTGTGTTTTCCTGTCATAGTTTTCCAAAGACACAGAGACACCCATAGACTCACAAACCACTTCACCCTGTCAAGAAATGTCCCCTGATATTGTCTTGCCATATCAAGTACTATGCTAAATTCTTCTAATGTGTTATATACAACAAGCTTCACTTCAATGAATGAATTTTTCTTTGAGTTTCCAAACTATTAAAATTTTCAGATATTGGGAATTGGATCTGAATTCACTGCCTTGACTATGAATTTCAATTTTATGCTATGTCCTTCCTTGAAGGTCAGAAGAAGCTCCTTAAAGATGAGAGAAAAGTAGCACCTTAAATTCCAGGTATGCAGGGTATAAGTAATGACTGGTAATGTGTCCACTAGTTACCTTAGGTTGGAAATTAACTCCAGGCCTGATGTACAAACATCCCTGTGAGGACTTCTCATTTTTCCTCTAACGTGTGTGCCTCTTCATTAAGGTTTCTGTAAACAGATCTTTGACAAATTTCGTCCTTCTAAAGTAACTAGACATTATCAGATGTGAAAAGTCACTTTGATTTTTTTCCTTCTCCTCCTAGGACATGAAACAGGCACTTTTGAGCTACATCAAAGGGTATTCAAGGAGAATACGGTCTTAAATAACCACAGGTACAGTTTTAGAATGCAGGTCTGAGGAACAGAGTGCAAAACAAGGGCAGGACAGCAGGCACACCCAGGAGATTCTTGGTTATGTCTTTGGCAGTTTAGCCTCTCTGCATGTCAGTTTTTTCTACCTAGAGAAAGATGGGTTGGAATGCACCATGGA